ACAGCAAGAAAAAATGTCCAGGGAAGTCCCTTGAATCACTGGCACCAATGGACTTCACTCACCCCATTTTTTAACTCTCATGGCAGTGAGCTGTGTTGTTGGAGGGATTCCTCTCAGGCAACAAGGGCCATAGGAAAGTTCTGGAACTCCTAATCTTAGTCCCAGTCATGCCACCAATCTTCAGATTTCTCTTTAGCTGGGTCTAGATCACCTGGCATCAGTCCCCACATGGCCCCTCTAATATTGAGAGCCAAGATTCCATCATGACCTGTGACAACTATAAATCCAGAGACTTCTGAGCCTGCTAGGTGCAGAGTATCAGGCACCCAAGAGCAGCTGGCAAGCGAGGATTGCTGAGGTGCAGCTGACCCAAGGCATGCCTGGCCCCTCAACTATCCTGCATCCGAAAGCCCCTGAAAGGACCCCTTTCTAACTTCCTGATGTTAATCGCTGCAAAAAACATTTGAACAAACAAACAGTAAGTGCACAAATAAAATGAATGAGCATCCACGTCTGAGTTAAGTCTGTGACAGGCCTGAGCCACAGCTCTCTGCTAATGAAGCCCGTGTCCTGAAGCCTCTCATCTGGCCATCCTTTCACTATAGCACCATTCCCAGCCCTGCCCAGATTTTCTGTGGGAGCTGGGCAAGTAGTTCCCTCTTCCACAAAACAGAGATTACAGGATGTATGGAGAGTTGAGGCTCCAGCATGTGAAAGGCACATTGAGGGGCTTGGTTCACAGGAGTGTTTGCTCACAAGGAGCACAAAGCTGCAGAGCTGTGGCACAGAGGGGACAGATGGCCCTGGGTCTAAGAGCCTTAGTTCTCAATAGAACTCCCTTCTAATCTGATTCTCCCAGCAAGGTAAGAAGGCCCCTTCCCGCATCCTCTGCAGTTCTGTCTGAGAATGCCAGGCACATGAGATGAGAGGCTGGCAGGTGGAGATTCCCTGCATGGGGCTGTGGGCAGGGTTGTTCCCGGACAAGCCACAAGTCCTCCTTACCTTTTTGCAGGCAACACCTTACACATCCCTTTCAGAAGTTTCATTCATGGGCTTGCTCACTCACTCCTGCATTCCTGGGGTAGGTAATGATACCCAATCTGTGTAGGATTCTAAGAATCAGAGAGGAGCAAACATATCCTTGAGTCTGAGAGATGATCTTACTTCACAAAATCGTGAGCACTGAGATAAGCACAGAGCTGGGAGCACGGAGCAAAGACCAGGGAGAGGGGTAATATGAGGGATTGACACTTGACCTGAGCTAGGGGAGAGTCCTAAGCGGAAAAGGTGTGTGTGTGTGTGTTTATGTATGTGCATGCACCCGCACGCACACATGCACGTGTGTTGGGGTGAGGTGGGACTCAACAAGGACCAGACAGGAAGATTCAAGTGTGTGAGAATTCAGCAACTGGACAGTTAACGTAAGGGGAAGCAAAAGATTCATGGTGGCATGGTGGGATCTAGGATGTCATCAGGAGTTGGAAGTTCATCCTGAGGACGATGACGACCCAGAGCTATTTGCTAGCAGAAGAGTGCAGATAGAGAGAGGCCCTCTAGGAGGAGAGGGACTGGGCTGAAACCAAGGCATAGTGGTTGAGGCACTGTGAGGAGTGGCTAAAGGCGTTTCTAAACTGCTGACCTGGGAGCCTGGTGGGCTGTAGGTGACCAGTCAGCCGTGAACGTACCTGTGCTGTGTCAGACCTCACCAGGAATTCCCTTGGCAAGGTGAGCCCCTCACCTACCAGCAATGAGAGAGCTGGCCACTCCAAATTCTTGCTCCTCTTCTCCCTCCTCTCCACCACTCCCCAGGAAGGTAAACACTCATCAAAACTAAACACATGTGCTCGAGATCAACCAGAAGGAACAATTCAAAAGCCATGTGTCTGGTCACTGAACCAAGGCCCTCCTTATGCTCAGATGGCACAAACTCTAGAAATTCTGATGCTTTGAGGGGCACAGAGTAAAGACCAGGCAGCCGATGTCTTCAAATGAAAGGAAGACATGGCCTGACCCTTGGGAAAGGAGTGTTGTCTCTGAGGGACACAAAGGCAAGGCCCACACTGTGAGCTACTGACCTATAAGAGATGTGCTGTTAAGAGGCCAGAATAACACAGAATGAGCAGTGACCCAAAAGGACCTTCCAGGGAACCCAAGCCCCCAGAGCAGCTCAGGTCAAAAATGGGAGTCACAAGAGGGAGCTGATGACCTGTCCCAGCTGTCCTTCCTTAGAGGAAAGGAAGCCCAAAACCTGCTCCCAAGCAAACAGAGAGGCCCACTAGAGCCAGAGGCCCAGAATGAGTGAGAAAATGAGGAACACCTGGGTCTAAAATAGAAGCCAGCGCCTCCCTTGTGGTGCAGGTAGTTGAGCACTGCACTGTGAAGCTGTCCGCAGCCTCTGCAGCACAGGTTCGATCCCAGCCGGCTGGCGAGAATCCCACATGGCAAAGCAGACCTTTCCTGTCTCACCCGCTGCTCCCCTCAGCAGTGTATTTCATCAGTCTGCCTGTTCTCTTCCCCACTCTGTCTCTGGTGAATCCTCTCACCTTCCCATGCATCTGACCTGTGCCCCAGCACTTGTATAAATAAATAAACAAACAAACAAATAAATAAATAAAATAGAAGCCAACTAGTTACCACAGATCTGCTTCTACCCAACTAAATGGATGTTGGCTTCTCCCTTCTCCAGCCTCCACCCCCATTCAGGGGTTCCTCCCGGACCAGTTTCATCACAGCTACCATGGAGCTTCTGCCAGGTACCACCTACTTTATAGCCCAGTGTGTCCACCCACTTTGCTGATTCATCTCCGAGCTTATCTCTGGACACACTGTCCAGAGTAAATCATTTTTTGGAGCCTGCAGAGGCCATGTCCTTGTGGGTTAATGTTTATACAGGACCCCCCACACATGACTACCCTGAATGATGCCACAGTCATTTTCACTACCTTGGAGGCATCATAAAACTTCTATGATATGGGTGTGTCTGGGGCACTAGTCTCGTCTCACGAGTGGTGTCTCGACCTTGCCTGGTAACAGACTCCAGAGGCAACTGGCAGACTTACTATCAATAGCTCCATCTCTGGGAAAGGTCTCTGGCATTCATTTGCTTTTTAATTTGTCAGACTGCACTGTCCTGAGGGATTGCAAAGTGTGGACCAGAGGGTGGGAGGTGTGAAGTTACAAGACTTCAGAACTGAAAATGTCCTTTTCCACATCAAAATATAGACATTTTGCTTGTTCCACTCAATGTTTAAACATGCTGTGGCTAGGGAATACTTATTCATAGTCTCCAACACTCCCTTTTGCCTTTCACTCATTATTTCAGACACATTTCCATTTCCTGCCTTGTTCAGCAGGCATTTTAATACACCCCTTGGCTAGTTCAGTTTGTCAATTTATAGGTAAACAGATGAAGAAGAAGCATATTAAAAACATGCAGAGGGTCAGTTGTTGACTAGGACTAAAAATCAATACTTATGAGATTGTCCAGTGCCTATTGATTTTTTTATTCAGTTAGTCATTGAGTACCAACTTCGTGACAGGCTCTGTGCTGATACTGAAGCAACCTTTGCATGAAACACAGTCTCTTGCCTAAATGGGTCACACACCCCTGAGGGAGACAGGAAAACAGGGAGATTTCATGACAAAGCCCAGAGTGACCAAGCTTGGGCCTGAAGTAACCACCCTGTGACTCCTGTGGGTAGAAGGGGGAAGTCTGCTTCTCCAACCAAATTCCATTGTCAGAGCAAGAGAATGAAGGTATAGTCCAGGGACATTTACCAGCAACCAAGAAGGCTCCTGGGCTTACCCTTCCAGTTGTCAGTATCCACAGACCACATAGCAGTACTTTGCCTTGCATAAATGTCCCCAGGGATGGGGAACTCACGCCTCCTGGGGCTGTCCATGCCTGTGCTAGGCAGCTCTGTTAGCAAGCCTATCCCAAGACGGGGTTGGAATCTTCCTCAAGCCCTTCACCCTTCCTTGAAAGGTGTGAGTGGGTATGCTGCTTCTCCATGGCCATGCACTGGAGATGAGTGAGGACATCTGCTGCCTCCCACCTTAGTGGAGACTTAAAGGCTTCCCTGCTGCCCATCACACTTGTAGGCTCCCAACAGTGACTGGACCCTCGGGGAGAGCTGACCTAGCCTGGAGGCAGGGCAGGAGGGGTTGAGATCCCAGAGCCAGGCAAGGGGCTGATAGCCCTCACAGTCCATGCCTCTCCCCCTACAATCCTTCTGTCTTTTCCACTCACCCAAGCTTCAGCGACACTATCCCTGGAACTTCATTGCGTTTCTAAAAAGACACTCTTCCCCTAGTCCAATCACCATCTTATCTCCCCTATTGTTATAGTTTCTGCTCCAGGGGGATTCCTTCAGTCAGAGGCTGGGCTGCTCGTTTTGGTTTCCCGGCCCCCCCTCCCCTTTTTTTTTAAATCTGGAGTGCTCTGCCTGAGAGAGGCAACTCCCAGAAAGTCTGAGAGGAAGTGCATAACGAAAGAAAACTCAAGCAGAGCCCAGACTCATCACAGAAGCCCCCCAAAAGCCCTCCTTTTCCAGTACCCTACTGAGGGCAAAGTGGGAGAAGACTCTTCCCTACCCCTGCTTATTCCCATCTGCGGGTCCAGAGGCTGCTTGGGCCCTGCTAGACTTGGGTGAGGGGAGCGATATCTCAGAACCCCGGTGCTCAAATCACGCCCTCCCGCCCACGCCTCCCTTCTCCCCCTCACCCCCCACCCCTCACCCCCCACCCCCGGGCTGGCTGCAAGGAGCCGGCGCCTCAGCTCTGCGCCCACTAATTGGCCCGGCGGGAGCGCTCCAGCTGCGCAGAGCCGAGCAGTGCCATCCGCTTAGCGCCCTCACTTCACCCAGCGCTCCCGCGCCGCGCCCCTCTTGCTGCCGCCGCCGAGCACCTTGCGGTCCTGCACTCCTGGCGGGCCGGGGCATGCCCCCTGCTCCCGCGCCCGGCTTCGGCTGCGGCCAGCGCCCCTGCCCGCCCGCGGAGACATGAGGGGCCGCCCTCCGGCCGCCCTGGCCCTGGGGCTCCTACGCCTCTGCCTGGGTGAGTGACCTCTGGGACTCTCGTAGGGGCGAGGGGTGGGCACCGGCACTACCCGGGTGGGCACAGATATAGGTCTCCTCATTCACTTCCAGAGTGGGCCTTGGGCTGGGGTGCGGGAAGTGATTCTTCAGGCTGCCTGACTCCGCAGGGTAGAGGGGCGCTCCCCGGAGCACTCCCCCAGAAACTGGTGCTCCAGACACTGGGACTTGGGGCCCCCGGATCTTTCCTCTCCCCTTCCCCCTGTCCCTAGCCTGCTGCTCTTGCTTTTTCAGTATTGTGGCCGCTATGGGGCTGCCTTGATGGCTGTGTGGGGGTGTGACCCCCCCATGTGACCTTGGCCTTGGCACTACCCCTGTGTGGGTATGATGCCCATTGATGGGGTTAAGGTTGAGGCTGCCTGCATTCTAAGCACCCCAGGTGTTGCATATTCCTGAGGAGCTTGAGTTCAGCTGGAGCCCACAAGAAGTGATGGGGAAAAAAAATCTCTCCATGGTTCCACGAGAGAGTCCTCAGTGTGCTGAGGCTGCGGGGAGGAAGCTGCCTGCCCAGGCCTGGGGCCCAAAGTGTGACCATGCTGGTGGGAAGCTGTCCCTCCACGGTCTGAGTGTCTGCCAGTTCTCTTGTCTGACTGCTTTCTCTTCCTAGTCCAAGCCAACTTCGCCCCGCATTTTTTCGACAACGGGGTGGGCAGCACCAATGGAAACATGGCCCTGTTCAGCCTCCCAGAAGACACACCTGTAGGTGAGTGGCCCTGAGACAGGTCCTCCATAGATCTCCCATGAGGCTCTGGTGTTCCACTGGACACGGAGACCTCTTCTGAGTCTTTTCAAGCCTTCTATGAGCTGAGGCTGCTTGCTGGCACTCCCTGGAAGCCCTGTTTGTGCTTTGAATCCCTGGGGTGATTGCAGGAAAGGAGGTCATGGCTGCCTTGGAGACCTAAGCCAGGTCAGTCCTAGAGATGCTTATGGGCCCAGAGACAGGGCCAGCCCCAGGGGGCATGCTGGTTACCTCTGGGCTTAGCCACATCACTGTCCCTTACCCACTGTGTGACCTTGAACAACTGTACTTAACTCCCAGAGCCTCAGACCTCTTGGCTTTAAATCTGCCTGAGATCATTCAGCCCCATGGGGTGTGGGGGTGATGGGGGTTGAGGAGAAAGGCTCTTGCTTTCTCTCCTCTACCTCACCCTGACTGGGCAAAAGGATGTGATATATAAAAGAGGTGCCTACTCAGAAATCCCCAAAGAACTGACCCAGGCATGCAGAACAGTGTTAGTGTTGCACCTGAGGGTGATCCTCCTGCCTTAATGGCTACTTCCATTGCCCCATATGCTATCTCCTGGGAGCCCCCAATCTTGGATCCTGGAACAAGAGTCATTAGCGGTAGAGACCCTGGAGTTGCAGTTTGGAAGCACCTGTATAGCTGGATTATAGATTATAGTCTGGGAAGTGGCTGATGCTTTAAAGGGCAGGAGTGAAGACTAAAGATGAAGAGTGGGAAGTAGCCTACAGGGGCTAAACTGCAGCCAAAGCTCAGCTCAGGCCAGTACCCTTGGCACTAAATTGAACATCTACCTTATAAACAGTTGACTTCTTCATCCTAAGCAGCTGCCACTTTTAGGGAAAGTCAGCACCCAGATTCTAGTTCTCACCCTGTGTCTCCTTCCAGGCTCTCATGTATACACCTTGAATGGGACAGACCCCGAAGGAGACCCTGTCTCTTACCACATCAGCTTTGACCCCAACACTAGAAATTTCTTTTCTGTTGACCCCAATATTGGAAACATCACCCTGATTGAAGAGCTGGACAGAGAGGTATGCAGAAATGTGTAGAGTGCTGCCCACATGCACACAGGTGACCTCTGTGGACTGGAAGGGGCCCTAGAGAAGGTTCTTGAAGAGGTCCTAGAAGCTCTAGAATAGTCAGGCAGTGGATCAGGCAGGAACAGGTGGTCCAGAGAGTGAGTCTGAGTTGGCAAAACTCTCCTCTGCACCCTTGAACTTACTGGCTATCTTTGGAGACCCCATACCGGGCTGGTAGCCCTAGGTGGGCGTATAACTGAACCTTACCTATGGGGTTGCTGGTTGGTGGGAGATGCCAGTTACAGAAAGGAGAGGGTGGGTTTCAGAGACTGCTATCAGGACAAAGCAATGGAGCTGTCAATGAACTTGCCCCTCCTTGGCACCCCTGAGACCTGATGACCTAGACACCCTTCTTCATTGAGGGCCATGCATGAAATAGTCAGAGGTAACAGATAAGGAGAAAAAGGAAGGGGAAGAAAATCCTTCTTCCTTAAACAATCAGACATGCTAGGTTAGCATTTCTCCTCATTCTAGCAGGGGAGGATTTTTCCATTGGCACCTCAACAATCCCTGTGGGTTTATAAGAAACCCTGATGTGTCAAGCCCCAAAGCAAGGTCTCAGCATGGCCAGAGGCAATGTTTGACCAGAACTGGCACAGTCACCATCAGCCCACACTGCCCCAGGCTTTCTCTGATGGACTTAGTGGGTCAGGGAGAACTCCTCCCAGCCTGGGGGCCCACGTGGTACATCAGACTCCTGCACACTCACTTAGTCCTTGTACTTTGCAGAGGGAGGATGAGATTGAAGCTATCATCAGCATTTCTGATGGCGTGAATCTGGTGAGTACGCACCCCAGCTAAGCCTCTGGTAGCGCACAATTTGGGCTGAGCACATTTCCTCCCAAAAGCCTCTGAGGGGCTCCTGGCAAACCCAAGTCAAGGCCCGGCAAGGTCTCAAAATGCCTGCCTAGGGAGTATAGCAAGGCCTGTGGGGAAGGAGAGGGCATGGAGAGGGCAGTCAACTGCACTTCTAAAAGATCGAACCCACAGTCCACAGTGTTTGCTCAAGCCTGCTTTCCCACCTGCCTCCTTTGACCACATTCTTGGCTCTGTCCAATCACCCACTGAATATTTAGGTACCCAGACTCCTTCAGCTTCTCCTTCTTCCACACACTTCCCCAGCTCTCATCACTGCTTCCTGGCAAAGATGCAGGGTCTCCCCTGCCTCCAGGCTTTTGATACCAACCCAGATCTCAATCCACCTCTGAAGTTTAGCCAGGGCCATCACTGTGGAAATAGATCTAACCAGCACCCAGCATAGAAAGTGCTAACCCTGACCCCTACTACCCTCAAGATAAAATCCAAGGTTCAACCTGCCATGAAGGGCCTCCCCACTGGGCACCATCTGCCTCACCTACTGTTCTCCCATGTTCACCATCTAGCCTTAAATCCACTTACATTCTGAATTCCCAGTGTACTTCATGCTTCTTTGCCATTGCACATTTTGTCCCTTCTTCCTGGCATACCTTTCCACCTCTTTCTTTCTAACCTGACAAACTGCAGTAGAGCTTAATTCTCACTCCTCTGCAAAGTCTCGTGATCCGTCACAGGCTGGGTTAGATATCTCTTCTCAGAGTCTCTGGACACCGGCTTCTGTGTGCATTCACAGCCCTAGGGAATGCAATTACCTAAGCCCCAGGCCCTGGTGAGCATCGTATCCCTGGAGTTGGTCTGTTCAGGGGCCTTGCTCCAGTGCCAGACATGTCACTGCTGTTAACACCCTGAGTGATAACACTACCAATCCTACACAGGCTGATCTCTGCTTCACCACCTCATCCTGCAAAACACACACCACCAGACTGTGTCTTGTCTCCAGGATGCAACACAATGCTTGGCACCAAGTAGTTGACTGTTTGTTGCACAAATGAGTAAAAGGAGGGAGGTAGGGAAGGAAGGAGGGAGGGTCAGAGACATACACCTAAGGGGCACTAGAGCCACACTGCCCCTTTATTGCCCAGAAGGGCTCACTATCTCAATTCCTGTGCTCCTTGCCCCTTCTCAGGTGGCAGAAAAGGTTGTGATCCTGGTGACTGATGCCAATGATGAGGCGCCCAGGTTCGTCCAGGAGCCCTACAGTGTCCAGGTTCCAGAGGTGAGCACGGGGCCACTAGGCAGGGCCAATATGCTCCCACTACAGGACCCTGGCCTGCCCTCAGGGGCTGCCCTGTGTCCTGGATGAGAAGACTGGGCATCACACCTCTCCATGGCTCACTAGCCTCTGGGGAGCCCCCCTCTGAGTTCTCTTCCCACCTCTGTCACCAGCCCCTCACATGTTCATTTTTCTTCCAGAGAAATGTTAATTTGCCATTTTCCATTATAGTCATATGTATGTATGTTGAGGAAATGTGAAAATATATAGAGAAGTAGCAAAAAATAAAATTTCAACGATCACTCCAGGGTCCCTCTGACTTGAAACATTATTAAATGTAAGTGATTTCTTTCTCATCATTTTGTGATTCGAGGTTTTTATTATCTGTTTTAATTTCATACTTATGACAAAACAGATGCCTTCTGTATCCTATTTTTCACTTCACTTATAATATAGGCATCTTCCTCCATAATTGTAAAGTTCGGGTCGCTGTCATTTAGATGACTTCCTTTAAGTGAAATCCCACCATTTACTGAGCTGCTCCCTTACCATTTACTTAGCTGCTGGGATATGTAAGATGGTTTAAATGTTTGCTGTCTTAAGAAACATCAAATTCTGAACATAAAAATGCCTTTTCTCTAATTAGAATTATTCCTTAAGATGCAGTCCAAAATTTGAAATTACAAGGCCAAACCGGTGGGGCTTATCTAGAACAGTACTTCTGGGATAGTCTCAAATCATTAAATATGTGTTAATTCAATAGGAGAAAGATTCTGTCTCTAAATTAGAGGCATATGATCCCTGGTCATGCGGACCATGTTTATATTTATTAACCTTCTCTCACTTGTGAATTGTCATTTCATGTTTAAATCTTTATCCAATTGGAGTGCTAGTTTTTCTCACTCTGCCTTTGAGGCCATCTTGAGCAAGATGTCTGTCTGCTCCTCTCTCTCAAGATGAGGAAAGCGCTTCTCTTGCCTGCATCCACCCTGGTTCTGGCGGGTCTCCTCTCTCACTGACCTGCTCCCTATTGGGTGGTGGGTTAATTGCTACTTTTCATCTCTTCGCCCCACTTTCCCATGCCTTCCCTACCCCCAGTTCCCTGAGTTTTCTGCTGCTCTGGGACTAACCTTCCTCCCCCATGGCTGTGACCCCTCAGGACACACCTGCTGGGAGCAGTATCTTTAAAGTCCAAGCAGTGGACAAGGACACAGGTTCTGGAGGGAGTGTCACCTACTTCCTGCAGGTAAGGTGGAACACACACCGTGTCTCCAGAGGCCTGGGCAAGAGGGGACACCTGGACAGCTCCCACCTGCATCACCAAGGCTGTTAGGTCCATATCTGTACAATTTCCCAATACTATCAGAGATGCCACCTTATATCCCTGCAAAGTCTCAGTACACAGGGTTGAATGGACAGGTGGGGCTGTGAGAGGGGCTCAAGCTGAGGCCATCCCCTCCTGGCTGGTCCATCCTGGCTCCCTCTGGGTTAAACTGCCTGCTCTCCCTCACCAGGATTTCAGCTCCCCACCCACTAGCCCCTTACCCAGGAGATCTGGGAACTTTGCACATTGGGTGAAGGCAACTTCTCTGGGCCTAGAAAGATCAATAGGAAAAAGGACAGAAGGGGCAACTCCCCAAAAGGAGATCTGTGGCACCCCCATGACAATAACCCCCTAAACCCTTTTGGAACACCCCATGCTGTCAGGGGACTAGACTGCTCCTTGCACCGCCCCTCTCCTGGCTCCTCAGGAACCAGCTGCTCTCTTTCACTTGGCTGCTGTTTCTGTAGAATTTCCTCTTCGCTCCACAATTAGTCCCTGGTCCCACCATCACCCCTGGGTGCTGCCTAGCACTGGCCTGTGTCACTTCCTTGGTGGGGCTTGAAAGTCCCAAAGTTTTTTCCTGTCACTTTGGCTTTTAAGACAGTCCCTTTAGGTTAGGGCACTCTACTGACATGCAGACAAGTCTCCTGATGGATCCTGCAGAGCTTAGCCCAAAGCTGCACCCAGTGGCTTTCCAGCTGAAAGAGCTAAGGCCCTGCCAGGAGAATTTGACTGAGGGAAGAACAGGGGAAGCCCAGAGTCCTATGAAGGGGAGCCCTGATCTTAGAAAGGCTAAATGCTCTAAAGTTGGAATTGCAGCCTTAAGCTGGAATTGCTGTGACAGAGGACAATGGAGATCCCTTCATAAGCAGAGTGGGCATTGATGGGGCTCCACTGGGTCCTCTCCCGAGGCCCAGCCTGCCCCTCATTCTCACAGAACCCGCACTCCACCAAATTTGCCATGGACCGCCACAGTGGTGTGCTGCGCCTCCGAGCTGGGACCACCCTGGACTACGAGAAGGCCCGGGCCCATTTCATCACAGTGGTTGCCAAGGTAACAAGAGGAAAGAAGGGGGAACCTCTTTCCTCAGCATTTGTCAGGGGAAGCTGTCCTTAGGTTGGAACAGACTTAGTTTTCAGGATGGAATGTGGAGAGGAAGGTGATTCAGAAAGCTGGAGCTTTTGTGGGGAGCTGCTTGAATGTCTGTTGAGTGGGCCCCGCCCAGATATATTCTCCAGGGAGGCTGGTGTCTGTTGCTGGGGAGGGCATATTCCCTCCTGGAAATATAATGGGAAAGTTCCCTTTAATAAGACCTGGAGACTCTGCCCCTCACATCCTATACAACCTGGCCTCCAGCACCTCTAGCTCTCTGCCAGTTGTGCTCTGTCCTCCTCATCCTCTCTGTGAAACCAGTTACCCCCTCTGTGATTCCACTTCCTCATCTGCACACACCTGCGACTAACTAACTTCCTCTTATTTCTAAAATGCCTGGTGTGGAAACTGGAACATAGCAGAGGCTCAGACAAAATGGCTGTTCCTTGTCCCAAGGACAGGAACCCCCAACTGTCCCTCCAGGCCAGTGCTTTTCTTTCCCAGAAATTCGGTCCTTGCTGGTCACATGTTGGCTACAGGCCTTCCCACTGCAGCCTGGACAAGATACCCAAGATAGTCCATCCCCTGTTACTCCAGGGCTGGACTCAGGGGCACATACTGATATTATATTCACCCAGTCATGCTCTTAGTAGGTCCTCAGGAGGTGTTTTAGGTTTGGTTCCTGGCCGTAAAGGGAGATTAGCTCTGACCCCTGTCCTCTGCCAGGGGTCACACACAACTTCCCTGGAAAGAGAACTAACCCTGTTTCCAAGGGAACACTTCTTAGTGCCTCCTGCATAGCAGGCACTGCCTGAAGACCTTCATGCATCATCTCATTTAATTTTTCCAAACCCCTCTGAGGGGAGAACTATCTGCAGGTGATCTAGAACCAAACAGAACTCAAGGCAGCTGGCGCTGTGCCTACTAAGTAACAGGAGCCAGATTCCATCAGAGTCTGGTGTCTACTCAACTTCAGATCCCCAACACTCATCCCTCTCCCGTTCTTCCCCAGGATGGTGGAGGGAAGCTGCGAGGGGCTGATGTGGTGTTCTCAGCCATCACCACAGTCACAGTCAACGTGGAAGACATGCAGGACATGGCTCCTGTCTTCGTGGGCACACCTTACTATGGCTATGTATATGAGGACAGCCTTCCGGTGGGTGGCTGCACTCCTCAGCCCAATGTCCCCTCCAGATGCCTCCTGCCCTGCCCTTGACATTGCCCAGGATCCCCCTGCTGGGCTGACCAGGCTGGGCCCTGAGTCACCTGCTCACAGGCTCGTTTTCCTCTGGAAGTTTAAGGGGCCAGGAACAGGTGCTCATGTGTGTGGAGCTCCCACTGGCTGCCCAGACTGTGCCATTCCCTTTTCCCAGAGAGAACAACAGGTGGCTGGTGGAAATATGAGGCCTTTCCTCTACCTCTGCATGAGGTGCCCTTGCACCTCCCCAGCCCCAAGCCTGTCGATCAGGGACCAGTAGTTCAGTTTGCTGCTGAGCCACCGCTACCCTGTCAGGCATGGCACATGGGCCCAGTTAGAAGGCTGGCCTCAGTTTCCCTCTCCCAGTCAGTCTCCACCCTGGTGTCTGGTCTTTGTCCCTCTCAGGGAAGGTCTCAACTCAGCTTGGCAAAGGTCCAAGGTTCCCTTCACCCACGAGCCCTCACTGTCCTCTATGCATCCCAGGCCCTCTCACTACTAAATCCCTGCTTGGAATGTCCCCATGGGCCTGATTCCGCTTCCCTTCTCAGATCAGCCCAGACACCACTTTCCCTGACACTTCTGAAATGGGAACTCCTCTCGCTGCTTCAGCACACTATGCACAACCCCTGTGAACACACCCTCCTTGGGGTGTACCTTGTATTTATATGCCCCCATACCCTGCCACCAGCCAGACCTCACATGACCAGGATTCAAGAATTCTCTGTGGAGCTGAATTGCACTCTCAATTTTCACTTCCCTAATTTGATTATCCCCGACTTCCAAGAACATGCCAGGGCCATACAATTAAACCCAATCCCTAGATGTTGGGTGTGAGCCTCTCCATGCTCTGCCCTGCTCCTACTTGTCTGTCTCTTCTCCCTTTGTGCTAAAGATGGGGGAAGCAGTGGTGTGATGCTGAGGGGCAGGGACAGAGAGGCAAGAGCTGAGTCAAGTGTGCAGGAAAGCTGACAGCACCAGTGTTGCGAGGATGAGGCCCCTGAGGAGGCCCAAGATCCGTGGGCAGCCCACATGCATGGTGGTGGGGAGAGAGAATGGAACAATGGGGCTCAGACTGTCCCTGCAGTGCTGGGAGGCCAAAGGCTGAGGCCTTTCTCTAGAGGATGGGTGCAACCACACAGAGTCCTGGTTCTTTTCCTGGGTGGCAGTGGTACCCCAAGTCCATGATCGTGGTAGTGTCTGCAGAGGGGAGAGCCTTAGCATCACCCATCAGTTTCATTCAACTGCTCCTCTTCCCCCAAGGACTCAGAGGTACTGACTGTGGTCGCCGTGGATGGAGATCGGGGCAAACCCAACCATGTTCTCTACAGCCTCGTAAACGGTGAGTAGGAAGCAGCTTTGGGGACAGGTTCATGACTGAGTTTGAGCTCTGATTCCCTGGGGGTCAGAGCGAGGTTCCCCAGCCTCCCCGGGTCCCAGTACTCTCATATGTAGGGCCAGAAGTACAGCCTGAGGAGAGACTGGCAGGTATCATCTTATCCAGCAACAGAGAGAAGTATTGGGTGGGGGGACTGAGAGCACTTGGATGGCACAGACCCATGTTCTCTTCACCCTGGCTGCGCTGTTGACAAGAGGGGGTGGTAACACTTCTTAACACTCCTCAGTTGCTATTTCTTTTCTCATTCTCTTAAGTTCTTTGGCCTAGAACTTATAGTTGAATTAAATGAACTAAATTCAATGGTGACATAATATGGCACCTCCCTAACACTAGCCCTGTAACTGAATGAAGTGAAAACTGAGGCTCAGAGAGGCTAAATGGGCATCCCAAGTTCCCATCATTGGGCTTGAACCCACATATGCTGGTTCTGAGACTGCCCTTTTCACAAGTGGGCCGCCACTGGGCAGGAGGAGCAAGACTGAGGGTGGGCTCTGCAGCACTCATAGGTGGTCTCTAGAGGGTCAGGCCCCTTGGCCATCATGCCTGATCCCTAATCCCAGAAAAACATGATACATAGTCTCACTCCGACACCACCGCCTCCAGCAAGCAGCCCCTTGACGCGCCCAGTGCGCACTCCCCCTCCAGCAGCTCACGAGAGGACAGACATGCCCACCATCACACACAGGCCCCTTCCTGGGGAATGTGGATCCTCACCACCTCCCCTGCGCTCTGCTACTGCGCGCCTTAACACCATTACCAAGCACCCAGTTGCCTCTTCTCTCCTGTCCCTCCTCCAGACTCTTTCCTCTCCCTCTCTCACCTTTCTTTCCTCCCACACTTCTCTTCTCACCTCTCTCTCTGTCCCTCCCTCTGTACCCTTTGCTTCCATTTTCTTTCTTTCACACATGCACACACACACACACACACACACATGCACACATGCATAATAGAGGCAAATTAGTGGGGAACTTGGAAGCCATACAGAAGTGAGTTGATGTTCCCTCTGCACTTACTGTGTAACCTTAGACAAATGACTTAGCCCCTCTGAGACTCAGTTTCCTCATTGACAACACACAGGTGACATATTACTTTCTGTAGAGGAGACTTCAATGAGGTAATGCCTGAGGAGCATGTGGCCCCCTGCCTGGCATGACTCCCCTGTGCCCCCTGTGGCACTGTGCAGAACTGCAAGGTACTTCTCTGTGACAGGGAGCGATGGAGTCTTTGAAATTAATGAAACATCTGGAGCCATCTCCCTCATGCAGAGCCCAGCCCAGCTCCGGAGAGAGGTATATCAGCTCTTTGTACAGGTAATTTGCCTCTAGCTTGAAGAGGGCTATGGGCTGCAAAGGGATAAGATGCAGAGTCATCTTCCACCCCTGGCCTCCTCCCCTACTCCCTGGGGCTTACAGTAGAGAGGGAGCAGATGGTGCTCCAAGTAGCATCTTTATCAGGTATCCAGTGTGGAGACTGCAGCAGATGTACACAAAGCCCCTGGCAATGGGAGATGTGAACTGGGAGTCAAGTGGGGCTGGAGCAAAGAGCCCATGGACAGTATAGAAAAGGAAAAATGCTTGGGGCCAGAGAAGCACTGGAGGTCTGAATAGGATGTCTGGGGATTTCCCTGTGCAGGGTCGGCTTCCGAGGCATGCGGCCTGTACAGCCCATAGGAGCTGCTACCCAAAGTCCCATACTGAGCTTAATGCTCTGCTATTGCTGTTTTGAAATTCTTAAATCAATTTTGAACAGGACCCCTTATAATTTGTTTTTCACCAGGCTTGCAAATGTTGTAGCTGGTCCTGCTCAAGAGCAATAAAGAGCCCCTGAAAGGTATTAAGCAGGATTCGAGTCCTGTTAAAAAGCTCACTGTGGCTGCATGCTGGACAAAGAAGGTTCTCAAATTCAGAGAACTTGGCAGAGATTTTTGGCCCACGCCTGGAATGGGAATTTAGTGTGTCCAGAGCAAACCCAGGACTTTGCATTGTTTTGCAGAGTCCCTAGTGTTACTGCACCAGTCCCAGCCTGGCAGTTGAGAACCATGTCTTAACTTGGGTTTGGAGGGAACTGGATGAGAGGCAGAGGCAGAGCCAACAGCCAAGGTGATAGATGAAAGGGCCTGTGGGGATGAAGGGAGAGGTGTTGGCAGAAATGAAGAAGTTGCAAAAAAGGAAGAAGCAGACTCTACAGAATGTGGCTGTGAGGGGTGGTGGTAGGGGAGAAAGATGGATGAGGACTGGGGAGGTGCCGTGATCTTGGGCACACAGAAGAGGAGGCAAGATGAGCAAAACAGCAGTTTGAATTTGGGGCCTGCCGGGACATTCAAGTTGACACATACACACTTGGGTACACAGGTTTGGAAGTTAGGGGAGAGCATATCAACATAGAGGGATCTGTGAAAGGATGAGTTGGGATGAGATTCCCCAGAGGGTGGTGATGGGGAAGGGGAGCCATTGGCCAAATACACTGCTGTGGGAGCACCTGCAGCCTAGAGGAGGAGAGAGGAACCCAGGAGAGATCAGAGCAGGAACCTGCAGAGTCACATTAGCCAAGAAAACAGTGCTCAGGAGATGGAGCAGTAGTATGGGGTGCACATAGAATTCAGTGGCTAGAAACTAGAAGGAAAAAGATAAACATCTCACTTATATGTGGAATATAGAAAACCAAACAAAAGCTGAAAAAAAAAGTCAAAACTAGTAGGCAGACCATGGAACTGAAGCATACAGCAAAGGAGGGGGAGCAAGGAGGGTCAAAACAATGGAGGGATGAACACAAGGGAATACGGTGATGGTTCCTGGGTGATATGGTGGCAGGAGAACTACAGGGACTACAACTATGTAAGAAAAAAATTTAATTACTAAAAAAAGAAGTGGCTAGTATTTGAGTGGAGTGGGAAGTAGAAGTGGAGACACGTGGTGTCTGCGTCAAAGAAAGGACAGTCAGGACAGCAGCTAGGGTGTGACAGAGTGGGGTCCAGGAAGGGTCATTTTAGGAGAGGTCTGCTGTTTGTTTGTTTGTTTTTAGATTGATTTATTTTTACAAGAATGGGATACAAGCCAGATGTGCGGAAGGGTGAGAGGATTCACAAGAGATAGAGTGGGGAACAGAACAGGCAGATTGACTGAAATACACTGCTGAGGGGAGCAGTGGGTGAGACAGGAGAGGTCTGCCGTGCCATGTGGGTATCTCCACAGCTAGCCAGGCTAGAACCTGTGCTACAGAGGCTGCGGACAGCTTCACAGCGCTGTGCTCAATTGCCTGCGCCACCAGGAAGGCCTGTTTTTGTTATTTTTTTTTTAAGATTTATTTATGTATACAAGAATTGGGGTACAGGCCAAAGGTGGGAGGGTGAGAAGATTCACCAGAGACAGAGTGGGGAGCAGAATAGGTAGACTGAGTGAAATACACTGCTGAGGGGAGCAGCGGGTGAGACAGGAGAGGTCTGCTGCACCATGTGAGTCACCTCCCTGGCCAGGGATCGAACTCATGCTGCAGAGGCTATGAACAGCTTCACAGTGCAGTGTTAACCCCTTGCACCCCCAGGGAAGCCCAAGGGGGTCATTTTAGGTAAGTGGAGGCATGCTTCTGAAGGGGACACAGGCCTTTTAGGAGGCTCATATATTTACCACCTGGTTCATGAGGTGCCTGTAGACTCAGCCCTGGCTTTGGAACACATACTAGTATTCTGTTGTTGCCTGTTCACATCTCCCCTCCCTGCAGTCTCCTCCTGGCTAAAGGACAGAATGTGGCAGAGCTGGGGTATGAACCCATGTCTGGCTGCAAGGGGGCAGATTAACAAACCAGACACACCTGAGCTCTTCCTGTTCTTGCTCTGTCACTCCAGCTGTGTGACCCCAGGTGATGCTTCCCACTTGTGTGTAAAATCGGGTCAGTAATAGCATGTCTCCTTTCTTATGGCTGTTGGAACATGTTGTCCCAAACTTAGTGGCTTAAAACGACATACATGTCTATCCCGCAGTGTCTGTGGGCCAGAAATCCAGACTCAGCCGGGTCCTCAGTTCTAAGGTGTGTTACACCCCCGCCATCACCTTGTTAGCCACTTCTCTCTGAAGATTCACTGGGGAGGGATTAGCTTCCAAACTCATATGATGGGCAGAATTGAGATCTTGTGGACTGTTGGCAAGAGGTCATCAGGCATTAGTTCCTGGAAACACAGGCCCCTGCAGCATAACTGCTGGCTTCATCAAAGTCAGCAAGAAAGAGTCTGCTAGAATATAGCAGTCACATTCTTCTAAAATCTAATCACAAAGTAGTTACCTCATCACCATGGTCATAGTCCATCAGTTAGAAGCACATTGCTAGGCCAGGCCACACTGAGGAGCGGGATTATACAGGGGATGATACTGGGAAGGTGGGGATCATAGGAGTTGTGTCAGAGTCCACCTGCCACACCACCATAGCCACCTGTCCCCACCCCAGGTGACTGAGGTCAGCTCTGCAGGGAGTCCAGCTGCCCAAGCCATGGTCCCCGTCACCATCAGGATCGTGGACCTCAATAACCATCCACCTACATTTTATGGAGAGAGTGGACCCCAGAACCGATTTGAGTTGTCCATGTATGAGCACCCGCCCCAAGGGAGATCCTACGGGGCCTCAAGATCACTGTCAACGACTCAGACCAGGTATGTGCCCACCTCCCCCCCTCACCCATCTCACAAGGTCCCAAAGCTTAACCTGCACCAGCCTTCAATGCTTATGTGACAGGGCTTTGGTCTTTTCAATCACAAAATGAATGAAACGAGGGCATAACCAAGAGGGAGAGCTGAGAGAGTAGCTAATGAGAGATTGTCTGCTTGGCCTAAAGACATTCACAGTCAATGGCAGAGTGAAAGGCAGTCACAGGAAAACACCTCTATGCCCCACCCCTGCTTGTCACTTAACTTGCCCAGCACAGGGTTAGGCCTTATGCGCTGGTGACCTTGCTTAGTCCTCACAGCCTACTAGGTCTTTCTGTCCCATGATTAATCTTCTCACCTCCCAGGGTTAAGGGGATGTGAAGGGCTCCTCACTAGCATGAACATATAATGAGTTTCCATTCTCATTTCTGTTCCCTATTTCCTCCCTCCAAACTCTACTGCGCAGGGAGCCAATGCCAAATTCAACTTGCGGCTGGTGGGACCTGGGGGCATCTTCCGAGTGGTCCCGCAGACAGTCCTGAATGAAGCCCAGGTGACAATCATTGTGGAGAACTCAGCTGCCATCGACTTTGAAAAGTTCAAAGTGTTAACCTTCAAGGTAGGGAATACTGTGCATTCCTGTGAATGGGGTCCCACTCACAGGAAGTCACAGCAGCCCCTGGGTTCATCCTGAGGGGTCCCTTTGTCACCTTTGCCCCTGTTGACCCTATTTTTTCATCTTATTTCTTCTGCCTTCCTGCTGATTTGGAGAGCAAGTGAGGAGGGAGAAGAAAAGTGAGGACAAAAGCCCACTGGTTGCACAAGCCCCCCACTTCTATAACTATAACCCTTAGATTGTAAAGGGGTTCAAAGGGAAAGTATCAATATAATGTGCTATGGTGCTGTTTCTCAATACTGATAGATTGAGAAAAAAAAATTTCATCAAGCGAGATGTTTTTCATATGCATTTGACATCTGTAATCTGTTCTGATATAACTTTAGCAGAAGGTAAAAAAATACTCCCTCTGTAACTGAGATTACAAGCATATCTGGATAATGTAAGTTATACACAAACATACTGATTTATCAATTAAAAGGAAAATAATTTGATTGTTTTCAATTGTTTTAATTATTTATAATTATACACATATACACTTCTTAGCCAGCCTCCTACTTAAACATGAAATTCCAGAAGCAGGGACCTCCCTGGTGGTTCAGGGATTAAATCTCAGCCCTATCAAGCCATTGCCAGCCACTGTGGCATGAGTTCCATCCCCAGGCCAGGGAGCTAACCCACATAGCCCAGGAGACCTCTTCTATCTTGCCCACTGCTCCCCTCAGCAATGTATTTCAGCAGATATGCCTGTTCTTTTCCCCACTCTCTCTCTGGTGAATCTTCTTATTCCCCCCACCCCCCACACACACCTCTGTCATACACTTCAGTATGTATAAATAAATGAAAATAAATGTTAAAAAAAAAGAAATTCCAGAAGCATTCTGTGAGGTCAGAACAAAGCCTAGGTGCCTTCCATCACCAGTGTTATTTACACTATTCCTGGGATGACATGATTCCTTGAGAAAGAAAGGATGCAAGTGGTGCAAACATTAAAAAGGAATATATTTGTCATTGTCTGTGATTATTTTCTTAGGAAGCCAAAAAGAAATGATTGAAAACTGTTAGAAACATAACAACATTGCTGGCATGAATGTCAAATACCTAAAATCCAATCATTTTCCTATATAGGAAAAACAGCAATGAGAATATATAGTGGAGTAAAGGATTCTCTTTTACAATAGCTAACAAATACAATTCCCAGGAATTACCTAACAAGAAATATGTAGTATCTAAATGATAAAAAACACAATTTAAAAAGGGATATAAAGAAGGCAAGAAAGGTAAAAATGAAGCATACGTTGTTTAAAAAAAAAAAAAAGCAAATTCCCATTAAGTTAATGAAAACTCCAATGCCACCTCAGATAAGTCTTACCTGGAAAATCCTTTGAGGAGGTGGTAAGGATGGCACAATTAGTTTTTATCTGAAAAAATGGGAAATTAAAAAAAAAAGAATATGAGATAACAACTTGCTCTAACAAAATTAGATTATATTAAATATTATTTAAAAAATGGAAGTAAAAAAGAATATGACGATCAGCAGAACAAAAGAAACTGGCCCAAATACAAATGGGATCTGTAAGAAAACAGGCATGGCCACCAATGAGTGGGGCAACAATGTATGCCATAGGGCTTCTTGCCAGGGATGGCAGGCATAGCTGGTTGGCAGCTGAGAGAAAGACCAGGAGGCAAGGCAGGTGGGTGCTGCACCAGTCTGCAGGAGGACTCTGCAGGAAGACTCACCTTGATAAGTTCTCATTTTCTTTCCTCCCCCAGCTCCTGGCCATTGAAGTGAACACCCCGGAGAAGTTCAGCTCCACAGCAGATGTTGTGATCCAGCTCCTGGACACCAATGACAATGTCCCCAAGTTCACCTCCCACTACTACATTGCCAGGATCCCTGAGGATGCCCCAGGGGGCACCAATGTGGTGGCCGTCACTGTGGGTTGTGGACTAGCCCGGGGACTGGGATGGGATGGGGACCCCCACTGAATGAGGCCCAATAAGTCAGACCAACCAGGCTTCTAGTTCAAATCACAAAGCCCACACTCGTTAGTGTGTCTTGGACAAGTGACCTGCCCTCTCTGAACATCAGTTTCTTCTTCTACTCAGTGGGGAAAACAATACGACACAGAAGTACAAATCCCAAGCCCGTGGCATGGGACTCATCTCCTTTCCTTCCCCATTTCCGAGGAGGAGTAGAGGCCTGCTATTGCTCTTTTGGTTCCTTCTACACTTGATACCTCCTGGGTAGAAAGCTAGGATTTTGGAGCAGGCCTCCTATTTTCTCCCCAGTTGGATAAGCCCTAAGTCCCTTCTTTCTGCTGCCGAAAGCAATCCTCAGATGCATGAGCTGCCAACATACCCTGTTCTGTCAAAGAAGCAGGTGCCACTGTGAGCTTTCTCTCTTCCAGGCTGTGGATCCAGACACAGGTCCTTGGGGCGAAGTCAGATACTCCATCTACGGGTCAGGGGCAGACCTGTGAGTAGAACAGAATCCTGGTCAGTGCCTTGGGCAAGGGATTTGGAGGATGAGGATGAAGAAGGTCTGTGCTAGACTTGGAAAGCAGAAGAACTGAGTCACAGAGACAAGCATGGGGCAAGGAATAGAGGGAAGCAGTAGAGGCGTAGGGACACATGGCTCAGGGCTGGGAGTCTGAGAGCAGAAGGGCCACCATCATTGTTTGAAGTCAAGGCCCATGATGGCCCCAGGAAGTGGGCAAGCAGTGCTGGACTAGGGATAGGGCAGACTGGTAGGGAAAGAGCAAGGCTGTGACTCGGGATAAGTTCAATATTGATAGATGGGTGAGGAGTTAGGTGGACCTGGTCCCTCCGTCAGACCTGCAAGGCTGGGGAGAGGAGCCCATGGGATATGCCACATAATGCATTACTGCCACTTTCTTGAGTCAGCTCATTACCACAAGCATGTGTGTGTGTGTGTGTGTGTCTGTGTGTGTGTGTGTTTGTATGTACCTGCATACACCGATCCTGCAATCTTTGTGCCCGGCAGCTTCCTAATTCAGCCATCCACTGGGATCATCTACACTCAGCCCTGGGCCAGCCTGGATGCTGAAGACACAGCCAGGTACAACTTCTACGTGAAGGCGGAGGATATGGAGGGCAGGTACAGCCTGGCCGAGGTGTACGTCACTCTGTTGGATGTCAATGACCACTACCCCAGTTTGGCAAGAGCATCCAGGAGAAGACGATGGTGCTGGGGACCCCAGTGAAAATTGAGGTGGGTTTCAAAACCAGCTGAGTTCCCCTGAAAGTCTTATTCCAATAATTCAAGTGACACTGTAGCGTAAGGATTTATTTTAAAATAAGATTTGTTGGATTTCCACTATGGGCGAAAGACTTAAGATGTGTAATGTCCCTTTCTCCACTTCAACCAAGAAATAATTTCTGAGAAAGAAGATATTGTTGCCACTTTACAAAACAAAATGGGAACTGGACAGGTTAAGTGTTTGGCTTAGTTACATTCGTTCAAATAGCTAATGTGCCGGTTTTCAAAACAATGCTCTCCCACGGTACTAGCCAGCCTTCCCAAGGCAGGAAGTGTGAACACTGAAACCTCAACAGACTTGAGTTTGAATCCCAGCTCCTCTTCCTCCTATGTATCCATAGTCAAATCACTTAGCATCCAAGCTGTGGTGTTTATAATACCTACTTCTTAGGCTTGTCTGAGACTGGAATATTATAACACAATGTAGGGTCTAGTGTCGACCCTGGTCATAGAATGGTGCTCATTCATTCCTTTCCGAGCTCCAGTTCACTCAAAATATGATTAGGACCATTTCATCAACCAGACAGCCCCGTATGACATACGGCTTAACCAGAGTCCACATGATGCTCCAAACCCAGCTCTGTGCCCCTCCCTCTTCACAGGCCACAGACCAGGATGCAGAGGAGCCCAACAACTTGGTGGATTATTCCATCACCCACGCAGAGCCAGCCAACGTGTTTGACATCGATGCACACACGGGGGAGATCCGGCTCAAGAACTCCATCCGCTCCCTGGATGCCCTGCACAACATCACGCCCAGTGGGGGCCACATGTGGTCCCTGGAGGTGCAGGCCAAGGATCGCGGCTCTCCATCCTTCAGCACCACAGCCTTACTCAAGATTGACATCATAGACACAGAGGTGGGTATGAAGCCCAGGTCAGGAAGAGTTCCAAAGAGTCAATATAACACAAGCAAAGGCAGAAAGATCCACTCCAGCCTTCCTCTAAAGGGCCCTCCAAGCTAGCAGAGCCTGCCAGTGTCATCCAACACACAGGCTTTGTAGTCATGCTGAGATCCTTGTTTCACTACCTATTGTGTTGGCTAGTTCTCCAGTTCCTTACCTGTTAAATTTTGAATAAGGTTACCTCCTTTACTTGGTAGTTCTCAGCTCAGTTTCTGACAAGAAGTCATCACTCAAGGGGTTCTCAATACATTAGGGTAGATACCTCCCCCCATCCAAACTCAAGTGATCTCTAACTGTCTCAAGAGCAGAGTCCAGTAATGCAAAAAGGTTTTTTGCACCACACTATCTCTGCATGCACTTTTTCGGAGAGCTGCAAGCATTACATTCTCTTTAAGTGCATTTCTTCTGGAATGGAGCTCAAGGTCCTCATTAGATTCTCAAGGGACTCCTGACGCCAGAAAAATCTAAAAATTATTAGGCTTAAGTGAGTTTACACCCCCTGCTCTGTCCTGCGGGGCCCAGGCAGGAGCAGCTGATTGTAGTGGTGGCTTTCTTCCAGATGCTGTCCCGAGACCCCATGGCCGCCTTCCTGATGCAGACCAAAGACAACCCCATGAAGGCTGTGGGGGTGCTGGCTGGCATCATGACCACCATCGTGGCCATCACCGTCCTCATCTCCACCGCCACCTTCTGGCGCAATAAGAAGTCAAACAAGGTCCTGCCCATACGGCGCGTGATCCGCAAGCGGCCCAGCCCTGCACCTCGAGCCATCCGCATTGAGTGGCTCAAGTTCAGAAGGACCAAGGCTGCTGCCAAGTTTGTGCTCAGAGATGACCCTCCCAATGAGAACTGTAACAACAACAGCTTGGGAAGCTCACCACCCCCACAGCCCCGCCTCTCCCTCCATCACCCAGAATGGTACCCAACATAGGTCCGGCCCACTGGACTGTGCCCACAGTCTCTGGCTCAATCACCCCTCAGCAAGCCCAGTCAAAACCTGAGGCCTTGGGAAGCCCTGTCCAGTCAGCACTGGTCTTTGAGCTAAGACAAAAGTTTGAGGAGAAGAAGAATGCAGAAAATATGGCTTATTTCTAGAGTATGGCCCATGGCCCCTCTTTTCCACCCCAACTCTCCTGCTACTTGGACCATGCTCCATCTTCTAATCCTTAGGGTCACCCCTGTTTTGTTTAATGATATAAATCCCATATCTAAGGCTCTGAACAGCACCTAAACAAGGGACTTCTCTGGTTAGGGATGCAATTGGCAAATACTTCCCAGTCACCCAGATCCTTGATCCAGTTGTGATGTTACTCATTCTGCAGAGGCTGATAGCCAACAAGGAGCCAGAGCTGTATGTCTTCTCTCCAACTCCAGGCCTCACAATCCCTGGAGCCTCTTGAGGCCTCAGCATCCTAAGTCGAAAATCAGGGCCCTAACCACAAGGCTGAGTAGAACCTAAATCCTGAAACCTACTTGTAAGAGCAGGAACAGGAAAAGGAGGCTCAGTCCTTGCTAAGGCTGAGATTGGGAGTCAGTGAACCTTGCAGTCCATAGGAGAATGAATGCACCAGGAGAGGCCAAAGGTGCACTAAAAAGTTAATGCTGATGCTGGAACTGTACCCAAAAGTGGTACGACCTCAGGAAAGCTGCTTAAACACCCTCTTCATCCTCTTCCTCATCTGTAAAATGAAGAAGATAAATCCCAGCTGCCTCACGCACAGGTTAAGACTGAGAATGAAATAAGTAGTAGTAGTAACAAAGGCTTTAACCAAATGCAGAGTGGCACAAGTGGAAAGTATTTTCTGCAGGCCAGTTCTCTGGGGTGCAGCAATTCCAGAAAGTATTAGGAGCTTCTCAGCTACTCTGCCAAGCATCTGTGAAGATACTTTGTTGGGTTTGGAAGCCGGCACTGAGCCTCAGCAGCCAGAGCTGGGAGGTGGCATTGTCCTTGACGTAAGTACCTCCCCTTCTGTTCTCCCCAGAACATATTCTCTGCATGGCTCTGACCAGCCACTGCCAGAGACATCCAGAACTGGGCAGCACATTCAGCTCAAGTCTCCATTTTTCCAAGATGATGAAAGTGAATTCCCAAGAGAGGAGTGTTACCCAGGGCCACATAGTGGGGTGGTACCAAGGACATCGTCAGAGGGTCCAGCTCCTCATTTTCCTCTTTCTGGGCATACTTGATCACTTTGTGACAGTCTTGCCCAGGAGAGAAGACATGCCGTCCTCTATGGTTAAAGAAAAGAAGTTCACCCTGACTTTAAAGACACTTGCTATAAGGAAATCCAGAGTGTACAGAGAGAGAGAACAATTCTTTGCATTTTGCTCCACTCATTAATAACCCTTCTAGAATTTGTCAGGTTTTATTTAACCAGATTTTTAACATAAGTGATTTTCTTGATTTCTGAGTCTATATTGAGCCAGGGTACAGGCTTCTTGCTTGGGGTATCTGCAGTCCCCAACCCTGAGAGTGTTAAGTAAGAGGTGGGCTCTAAGAAGCTAGGAGCCCAGACTGAACTACCAGGTACTCTGCAGCCCATGTTTCAGAAGCAGCTGCGCTGGATCATGTCTGCTCTCCACAGGGAATATAGCATCCTTACAATTTGCATGCAGTCAACCTCTTTTGTAAATGATAAATAAAATCCGTTAACTGAAGGCCAAGTTGACCTCCTGTTCCCTGCTTGCTTTAGTGTTAGCTGACTCCTACAGACAAGTTCAGCCTGCCTCCTGGTTCCTTTAGTGAGTCAATTCACCCTCCTCCCCTGTAACTGATTTGGTGCAAGATTGCAAAATTTTATGCAACTTGATATGTGAACCCCACTAACAGCAGCATGTTTGTAAGGGCTTGCCTTCCTGAACATGATCCAGGCCTGGACTGAGCTTTTTCCCCTAAGCAGGACAAGCCCATGCAGCATTGCCTGGACAGTAAGAGATCTGGAGCTAGAACTATCAGTAATTATCCCCCAACCCAGCCCAGGAATTGGGAGGCCTGGTATAGGCATGAAAGCCTGGGATGCACTGTTGTCTCTGGGGTGGTGGTCAGGAAAGCCTCTCTCTGAAAACTCAGGCCTGCATCCCAGCCCCGGGTAGAGCTTGGGCCCCTGACAAATCCAGAACTTTGATTGTCAAGGCAGAGCTATCAGTTGCCAGCATGAACCATACTGAGAAAGAGGAGGGTACTGCCAAACCCACAGGGTCAGCAAATGTGGCCCCTCAGGAAAAGAGCCCCAGCCTGTGGAGTGGAGTTGGAACAAGTTCCACTGCATCAGGACATGTTGGGCCCGGGAACTGGCTATGCAGTAACAGTGGGACCAACCTAGATCACAAGCTGGTACGGTGTTAGTCCTCAAGGCAAAGAATTGTGACATGGTGAAAAACTGGGCAGACTTTCCTACTCCTGGGACCTAAGCTGGAGTTTTCAACCCACAGACAATCAACAGATGTGATTGAAGAATGCTGTGTGCTTGATCCTGTGGTTGAGCTTAGATTTTCTAGTAATAGGGAATAATATGGTCTAACAACCCTGGGTCTGAATACTGGTTCTGAATTCCGAGTGATGCCTTTGAGCAAGAAACTAAGCATCCCTGGGCTCTGCTGGACAGCTGTTCCATAGTTCCACAGATTGTCCTGGGGACAGTCTCATTGTTCCCTAATTCCTTCAGAAGTAGATGCTCAAATGCAGACTGCAGGGCTCACAGATGCAGTGGTGTCTGCCCCACTCTCAATCAGTTCATTAACATTGATTAATCAATAATAATAGTGATTAATTTTTATACAGCACATATAATACAACAATCGGACAGGTCAAGCATCATTGACATCAGTTCCACGAAGATAAGAATCTTGTCTCCTGTTCACTGTATCAAGTTGGGTGCCTGGAACACAGTAGAAACTCAACAAATATTTGTTTAAAAATGGATCCAGTTATGTTAAGCTGCCATAGAAAGTTCGCTTAGGGGCCAGAGGCCCACCCCACAGCACACCTGGCCTGGGCTCTTCAGTCACTACCTCTCTCTCTTCGCCACCATCAGTGTCTCTGTGCCCCAGGCCTTCTTCACAGACAGCAGTGTGGTCTCTGAAGGAGCCATCCCTATGCTGCTCCTCAGCACAGAGACACCTGGGGTCTTTCCTGCTCTGAAGACAGCAGCACAGGCCCCACTCTGCAGCTGCAGGGCGCCCAGGTGTAGACGCCCACCAGTGCTGTGAGCAGCACAGCACACAGGACCACTGTGATATACAGGAGGCGCTTCCGCCCCTCTGGCCTGCTGAGGTCCTGACCCATCACAAAGACCACACACCTCCCCTGGTGTGGGGGCTGACCCCTGGGCTGAGGAATGCCTCACATTTTTTAAAGATTAATTATTTATGCATACAAGTACTGTGGTACAGGCCAGAGGTATGGAGGGGTAAGAAGATTCACCAGAGACAGAGTGGGGAACGGAACAGGCAGCCTGACTGAAATATTCTGTTGAGGGGAGCAGCAGGTGAGTCAGGAGAGGTCTGCTGCTCCATGTGGGTAGCTCCCTGGCTGGGGATCGAACTTGTGCTGAGTAGCTGCAAACAGCTTCATAGGTTGTTGTCTTAACCCTTGCACCACCAGGGAGGGCCCATGCCTCATATTTTGTGCTGGGGAGCAAGTCATTCACAGCATATGCATTGATCCCAGGGCCAGTGTGAACTACCTCCTACCTTAGGGCTCCATCCGATGCAATATAGAGGGTGAACCACTTTGCTTAGGGGGTGTCGATTCCTGCAAACCACTCCAGCAGGCCCCCATACACTCTCTTCTTAATGACTCGCAGGTCAAGGAAGGCATTAGCCTTTGAGGGGAGGAACGAGAATGGGATCCAGGCTGGACATAGAGGGAGATGACAAGGGTGCTCCTGCCAATGAATTTGGAAGCCCCACAGGTGTAATTGCCTCTGCCTACCAGGTGGAGAGCAGGTATGACCAGCTCTGACAAAGCAGCATCTCCCACAGGAGACAAGGTCGACACTAGGTGGAGAGAGCAAAACAACTCAGATACTTCTCTGACAGAGTTGAAGTTTGTCCAGCAATGTCTGTTCTTTATTAAAAGGTGATGTGGCCATTTATTAAGCAGATAGTTGGTTCCAGGTGTTTGTCTTCCAGCAACCTTATAAGGTAGGTACCCAATTTTATATTTAAGAAGGAGATTGGAGCAATTAAGCAACTTTCTTATAGTGAGAGTTCTTCAGAGGCAGCAACTGATCAAAACCCTGTTCTTCTGTCTATAAAAAACCACACTCTTTCAACTTTACCAGCTGCTCTCACTAAATTGCCTTCACTAGCAGCTCTTTCCAAATTACTTTGCTGAAACCTAACAGCATGGATTTTGGGAGAGCTCTCAAAACTGTGTGACTGTGCAATATTGTGAGGCTCAGGAAGTTGCTCACTTACTCTCCAGATGTGGAGTGGCTCAGAGCCTGGAGCCAAATGCCTGGGTCCTATCGCTTACTAGGTATATGGTTCTGGACACAATTCTTAAATATCTTGGCTTCAACTTCCTCATCAATAAAACGTGATAACTGTTATTCCATAAGTAAGTACTTAAAGTGTTATCTGTTTTTATTATTGATAGAATAGACTTAACAGAATGCCAAAGACAATGATTATAGAGCGACACAGGATTATTTCACTGTTTTCAAAGAGGCTACAATAATTCTATATTTTCCCTCACTGGTATTTAACTGCAAGTCAGTAAGATGAAAATGATAGGAAAATGTCAACGTTTCAGTCAATAAGTTTTTTCTTTAATCATGCAGAGATTTGTCTCCAGGTATAACAGATTCCTGGGTGACTATCTCATTCCCCTAACTTTGCTCAACTATTCCTACTTGCTTGTTAGACAGCATGGGGAAAGATGCAGAAATTCAAAAGGCTTTTCCAGCTTCAATCCTTTAGGGAAACCATCCCTGGCCATGTCCCAACATGCAGGGTGGTATTAAAGGTGATTCCAGCTGAGGTATGAAAGCAGAGCCCAAAGCTTCAGGAAGTGAGAGGCAGGTTTCAATCCAAATTATGGGGCCCATGGAGGTCAAATCCAGACTTTGGGCCCCTATATTATAACTTCAAGTCAGTAAGAGCTGATCAGCATAGAAGTGAGGAGAAGTGTAAAATTCAGTCAATATCTAGGACTTCCCAACCTTGCTTCATGGTAAGAATTAGCTGAAGGATAGGGTAGCACTTATTAAAAACACATAATATCAGGTCCTATCCTGGACTCAGAGTTCCAAATCTCTAGGACAGGATCCTGGAAATCTTATTCCCAACAGGCACCCACATAAGCCTTGTCAGGCAAGGTTAGGAAATAAGGCATAGGTAATCTCTAGTCAGAAATCCTATGAATTTAAAATATACAATATGGTGTTTTTGCATCTAAAAGGGCTCTTAAAGAATATATTGTTCAATAAAATCCTAAAATATTTATGCAATATCAGTCATCCTAATACATATACTTACATATCCTGTAGAGATCGATAAGGAAGCATTTAAAATATGCCTATAGTGGCAACAACCTACAAGTTATAGTCAGATGCATCCTCTAGGTGATGGGCAGAATATATCCAAGAATGGAAATTCCAACTTCATGTATATTGGTGTCCTTATGATTCTGATCCGGGTGTCAGTGGCCCAAAGAATGCATTTCTGTAGTGAATCTCCTTTGGATGGTACTGTAGATACCAGCACTGAATAAAGACTCTCAGCCTGACTAGAAAGTTGTCAAAGAGAATTTATCACTAACCTCTAGAAGCTATTAAGTTCTTTGGGCTTCAGTTTTCTTGTCTGTAAAACCAAGTAGTCCAGCCTCTGCAGTGGGGTATTGGAAATATCAAGTGAGAGAAAAATGGGAAAATAGACTATAAAGTCTTTGGTAAATGTGAGTGGGAGCACAGTACCATTAGAAATCACTGTGCCATATTGGTTGTTATCTAGTAAATTTTCAACACAACAGGGAATCTTTTTAGGTGATACTAACAATGTAGTTTCCTTGGCTCACTTGCAGTCCCAAACATTCTTCCTTAGTTACCCAGAGGCCTTGGCACCACACACTCCAGATGCTCCCCTCTCTAGAGCTCAGTCCTAAAGAGAAGATAGAACTTTGGTCCTTTTTCTGGGAAGGATGTACTTCTCCCGGGCACCAAGATATCTCAGAAGTTTCCCAGCTCTAAGCAAACTGAACAGGAACTCTTTGAAGTGACTAATTGAGTGATCAAGAAGATTCTCAGATACCCCTCAGAATGAGAGTATAGGAATTAAACATGCTGGGGCCTCCTTGGTGGTGCAAGGGGTTCAGCGTCAGCACTATGAAGCAATCTGCAGCACTGCAGCATGAGTTCGATCCCTGGCCTGGTAGTTGACCCACATGGTGCAATAGACCTCTCCTGTCTCACCCACTGCTCCTTAGCAGTGATTTCAGTCAACCCAGCTGTTCTGCTCCCCACTCTGTCTCTGGTGAATCACCCACACACCTCCGGTCTACACCCCAGCTCTTGTATGTATAAATGAAGATTTAAAAAAAAAAAAAAAAAAAGAATTACACATGCTGCTCCATGGGGACAGGGGTGGGCAGTGTATCAGATAGCACTGGGTATACTGTGCCACCCTCCAGAAGTCTCTCAGGTTCCTCCAGCCTGGCATTCTGAAAATAAATGAGCAGTGGTACAGGACATCATTCAAACCTCTAGAATTTATTGAAAATAAAGCAATTATCTCTAGGAAGAATGGCACCCAGAGAATAAATGTTAAGCATATGTGAATGTACACAGTGAGGTCATGGGGTGTGTGTGTGTGTTGTGAGTGTGTGTGTGTACACAAACATTACTAATGCATAGAGAGATTTTGTAATTGCCCATGGGTCAGCAAAAATTCAATCAGAATGTAATATGAGAAAGTAGTAAGGAACTATGGGCTCTGGAGCCAATTGCCTTAACCGAATTCCAGAGCTATTATTTCTTAGCTCAGTAATTGCAGACAATATAGTAGATCAGCACATTCTCAACAAAAATATTTCCTACTTCTATCACCTCCATAGCAGAACTCTCCTTGCCCTGTTAAAGTTGGGTTTGGCTGGAATTTGCTTTGGCAGATAGAAGCTGTGCAGAAATGGCAGTTCTAAGCCAAGAGCTTAAGAACTATCACATAGTTTTGTTGTTTATTCTTCTATATCATCTGACCTCTCTTCGAGAGAAGCCTGATCCAGGCCCCAAATGGGACACATGGAGCAGAGCCACCCCAGTCAACCACACATCTATAGATTGTGTGAAATCAAGTGCCTGTTGCTGCCTATTATGGAGATTTTGCTTTTATTTCATTGTTATCAGCAGAAACTAAAACAAGCAAGTTACTTAAAACCCTTGTTTCCACTCCAGGAAATGAAAGAGAACATTGGTGCCTGGTGCAAAGGGTTGTTATAAGAATTAAATGAGTTAATGCATATAAAAGTACTTAGAATACTTCTGTCAAACAACAAGGGTGTAGTAAGTGTTAGCTGTTGTTGGTGTAAGTGTTTGAGTAGGCAGGTACCAAGGGGGTAAGTGGGTGGGTGAGCATGGACTCAGGTATCAGAGCTGTGCATCAAGTAGAAGAGGCAGAGTGCACGGGAACAGGTGTGTGGGCATGTGTGTGCACAGGAGGAAAACACCCCTTAGCAGAAGTACTCATTCATTTGTCTGCCACCCCTGACCCCCAAAGCCTGAGAGTCCAGGCTGGATTGAGCCGAGAGAAGTCTGTCAGCCTCACTGAGATTGTGCCGGGACAGTTGCTCAGAGTGATCCTCACTGTGACCAAGCCTCTCCAGAGTGATGTAGGTACCTCCGAGCTCGGTGGGAACCCCCTGAGCGACACTTGCGGCAGCGTCTCTGGAGAGCACCGCAGCAGACAAGCAGCGTGGGGGCCAAAGCGATGACTGCAGCCACCGTGATCACCACTATGTTGATGAGCCACTGGGTGCCCTCAGTGTCCACCACCTCATGGTGGAGAAGATGATACACTGCTCTTTCTGGGGCACCAGGCCCTGCACACAGATGCATGCCACATACTTGGTCTTGGGGGACAGCCCATGGATGGTGACACTGGTCTTCCCAGGCTGCACCATCACCTGCCGCATGTCACGCTGCCCGTAGACTGTGTAGAGGACACTGAAGGCAGTTGTGTTTCCAGCCTGGGGTGCTTTCCACACCAAGGTGATACTCTGGTAAGTGTCTCCCACCACCCTTGAGTGACCTCACCAGTCGGGCCTCCTGGGGTCTTGCCTGTGTGTCCAAGTGCTCTCCTGGGCACTACCTGCAAGTGCTGAAGGGTCAGCTCCTCCTTTGTATTGGACACAGGGGGCCCAGTGGCTGGGATGGTAGGCTTGGGGAAGTGGGGGGACATGCCTGGCTACCAGTTTATTGTAGGCAGCAGCTTCCTTTTCCTCGCCTGTCCTTGCCCAGAGTGGCCCTGGGCTCCCACTGTGTTCTGTGGAAGCCCCGGGCTCAGTGACAACCAGAGATACACGAGTCTCAGAGGTTCCCAGGAAGTTCTTGGCCTGGCAGATGTAGTCTCCGAGTCCAGGTGGGACACGGTACGCAGGCCCAGCAGCAACCAGCTCGTGCCATCACTGGTGACTTCCTGGTGCACTGGAGAGAAAGTGGTGCACTTGGGAGAATGATTGGACCCATTTGCCCCACCCTCCCTCCCAGGGATAAATCCACAACCTCCAGGCTGTGCACAAGACCCTGTTATCTCAAGGAAACACACCTTGTTATCCCAAGGAAACACTGGGAGTCATTCAACTTTTCTTAGGCTAATCGAGAGAGATGGGAGATCACCTGGGCTAAATTTGGGGAGACCCAGGCTAAGGCAGAGTCTTTCAAATCTGAGATGTGCAAATGTGTTCTTCAATGCCCTGGAGTTCTGCAGCATGGCCCTGCAGGAGTGGAGGGCAGGTGTTTTGGTGGTGAAGTGGGTTAGGGTGTGCCTGGAAGTTCTCTGCCCACCCTTAGCAGAGCACATTCAAATTTCTGTTTTACCCAGTGGAACTTCTGATACAATTTGGCTTGTAAATTGATTTCAAACCCACAGTCTTTGAGCAATACTCTTGCCCAACACAGCTGAGGGAGACAAAGAGAAAGCTGGGGGGTGGGGGCGGCGTGCAAGGGACGTAAGGTTCTCGATCAGGTACTAAGAAATTATTCCTCCTTGATCCTCTTTCTGCATGGAGATGGGTCTAATACCTGCCACCTCCTCTCATGGTGAATCTTCTCTGCCTTACAGCATGGAGAGCCCTGCCGTGGAGTCCACCAGAGCTTCCCCGCCCAGCTCCTCCTAGCTCTAGCTGTGTGATGTAGGCCAAGCATTTAGCCCTTCAAAGCCTCAACTTATTTATATGCAAAGTAAGAATAATCAGGTTCTTTAGCATTCAGTGATATGCCTAAAATACACTTAGTACATTAAGAGTGCAACAGATGCTAACTATTGTCATAAATTACTCCTGTATTACACTAAAAAGAGCATCTGTATTACACTAAAAGAGCATCTTCCACCAAACAGTCAGACTTTTGTTCCCCTCGGGGTGGGCCCAAGTCCCTGACAAGAGTGGCTGGTACAGTGCGAGAGGACAGATTGTAAGCCATGGTCAGCACTGAAGCCATTGTTTCCAGGCACTACCACTAGGTGGAGCCTGTGCTCACCTTGGAAGCAAAGGCCTGGCTTACACCACTAGCTCCATCTCTTTACAAACTTGCCATCCCACTGGACATGCTGACCCACCCGGAGCTCAGCACAGCAGACCTTGTAGTTCACACACCTGTGCCATTCAGTGGGTGCCCGTTGGCCCTCCTCCAGCTCATATGAGGTTCAGGGACCCCCAGCGGCCCCACAACGTAGCAATACTGTGCTGCCCAA